ACGGCCACAGAGTATGACGAGGCGCCCTCAGATTAGATAGCACGTGGGCGCGTACGTATGCGCAGACACGGCGCAGCATGGATACCTACATGACATTCCGTTGCGAGCCGTCGCTGCATTTGACATTCGGACAAAGTACCGTGATACTGTTGAGTCGGTAGTGTTCTGACCGTGGAAGCCACAGGAGCGGAACAAAGTGGCATGGCTGATATCACTTGTCATGTAGCGCCATCCCGTGCGTGAGTTTTTGGGGGGTTCTCCAAAGTTTCCAACTATTTGCTGTTCTTCCAAATAATGCAAGTTTGCTATCCCCACAAAAGGAAAAAAAAAAGAAAGGCCAGGCCGTAAACCTGGCAGGAAGGCAGGAAGGCAGGCCTGGCGAAGGTTTCCCGGCGTTTTCCTGATAGGAGGAGACGGACGCCTTATGCCCTATCCATTTTCTTTTCCCCCGGGAAATAGGAAACGGCAGGTCATGGGAGAAACGCGGAGTTTTGGTGGTGGTGGCGGTCGTGGATGGCTGTCACGGCTGACACGTAGCACGTAGCACGTAGCACGTCGTCACGTAGTCACGCCGAGGGGCTACACCATCAATACGCGACTCCTGTATCAAGTACATTCCACATGGCGCCACCCATCCCAGTAGTCGAAGCAAAATCCAAAATACGAGATGCGAATAAGGCCCACGAGGCGAGAAAAGATAGATCTGGGTGGCGGTTTCGCGGTTCCGGGGGGTTGATCAAAGTCGATCTGTGCAAGGGAAGAGAGATCCAGGTATCGCTCCGATCTTGCAGACAAGCACAGGAACCAAGAGGGATCCGTCAAAGGGGGAGACAGTGACTAGCAGTGCCGTCTGTTTGGAGCTAACCAGTGACCAACTTCTTGCGTCACGGGTGGATGGAATTGCGGCAATTGGTGGAGTCGCGGGATATACCTGAAGCTGGGCTGGTGTTGCGAATTGGGCTGCGATGTCTGTCCCAATCGCCGATGCAAAAGACATTGCGGCACAATTCCCCCCTTTCAGCCTTTTACGGGGAAAGAAGAACCCATCTCTTGCTACCACGAAACTAGGTACCGTGGCTACCGGAAGTGTGCGATCCGACTATGGTGGTCTGCGAAACTTGCCTGCCGTGTCTGCTGGTCGAAAAGGATATCATGCAGCACATTAGTTCCAATTCTTGGTCCCAGTTAGCAGGGTCAGGCCGAAGAAACAAAGATTTCAGCCGGGGAAGTGTCCCTCCAACGTGGCCCTAAGGGAGACGGCTGGTGGTGGTGTCTCATACCTCCATTCCCACTGGTCTCGAAATTGTCCGTCTTATGTCGGCAATCCCAGTACGAGAGCAGGGAACAAATCCTGTGGTGGAGTCCACTTATCATGAGAGAGTACCGAGTACCGTGGGCGTCTAGACACAGGCGCCTGATGAGATGACCAAAGATGAATCGCCCAAGCAGGGGTATTTTGATCCTCAACTTACCGCTAGCAGCTACATACAGGATTTGTAACTCCTGGTCAATTGGGACCAACGCATCGGGCGGAAACAGTTTCCTGTGTGAGACCGTGCTGTCAGATCGAGAATGCCCTTTTCTATGACCGCAATCTCATCTTTCCCTTCCGCAATTCAGGCTTGTGAGGCCGCCGTTGGCACGGAGACGATAGCCGACAGCGCTAGGATCTGGCGCTACGACCGAGGTGAGGGGCTACTCGGTTCCCCATTGATTTCTGCTGATCCTTCGGGCAGATCGTAAAACTCTTGTTTGTGTCGGATGAGACGAGTGAGGAGGAGGTGGAACAGTACCGAGGAGGGTTGATTCTCGTGTATTGAAGTAATTTAAGTGACGAACAAGATGGACTGAGAGTGAGATAGCAGCCCAAGAGACCAGACAAAGGAATTTGGCGGTCTGAGCAAGTATTACCGTGTCGCAGCTGCTTCATGGGCGATCGACCAGCAGCAGAAGGCGATGGACGGATCCAGCCTCCGCTGGCACTGCGATCGATGACTGGAGGCGCTGGGGGCTGCAGTGGGCGCAGCCTGGACCTCGTACGGCGTCCCTCCCGCCAGCGGCCCAATGGTGCCCCGATCTGGGCTGCATTTTCACTCTGCGCTTGGCCTGCAGCTCAGCAACTCTATCGTGCTCCTACCTGCCGCTTTGGGTCTGGTCACTCTGACATCTACTGGCTTTTGCTGTCTTCATCCCAACAACCCAGGCATCTTGCCACGGCTTGCTTCGAATTGCTGTCGTTAGAATGCCCATTCTGCCTCTGGTATCTCATGCTTTGACTTTGTTCTCCCCGGCTAGTTGCTCCATGGACAACCAACTGCCGCCGCCGCAGTCCAATGGTAGCCTCAGCAGGCCTGCAGCCACAGATGCCGCTACTTGAGCCATGGCTTTCTCAACTCTTTCCTCTCTTTCCCCTCCCTCCTCTCCCTTCCACTGCTGGAGATTGGCTCCTCTGGCCCACAGCCTCCCTCTCCTCGCGATCTTCGGACTCGACCCTAGATAAAACTCCCTGGGGATCGCCTCTTCCCTTGCTCATCTCATGAACAATCGAGCCCACTTAGTCAACCCTCCAAGCGACATTGTGCCCTGGTCTGAACTTCGCTGACAGATACGAGCTGTCTCAGTGTGGTCACCCTTGTCCTCATACCAGGAAACTGTCATTTCTTGGTCCTAGCAACATTACCGCTTGGTTCGCCACTTGCAGCTGCTCTTTTATGGTCAATCCCGCCCCCCAGGCAACCACTCTATAACGTTTCTTCATACCTTGTAGGCATACTGGCTACGATTGTGCATGCTTTGTTCGGAACCCAACTCAAGATACTTTCTGTTGCTACAGTTGCTATAGCTTGACTGTCCACCTGTGCAACGGAAGCCTTATAGCTCATCGATCATTGGAGGACCAATTACTCCTGCTCTAAGACCACGCCCGTCGCACTGCAGCAAGCTACTCAGGACACCGTCCGGACGCCAGTCTCCGACGACCTGCCCAATATGCCGCCAATGCGAACAGTGTCGCGGGAGAAGCCTCCAAAGACACAGCGCACTCAAGAGGAGAACCAGGAGAGGTGAGCATATCTGGCTGGTGCAGCTTGTCCAATATACTGACATTCATCAAGAGCATATATCGCTGCGTCGAGAAGGAGTGACCGAACTCTCGAGGCTCGCGTGGAATCGGCACGGAGGGCTTCAGAAGTTCACAAGAGAAGAACTGGACGGGCGCTCCGGATAACCGCTGAGGATGTCATGAACGAGGAGATGTATGAGGAAGAGGGGGATGACCTGCCCCTACAATATCGACGTCTTACTGCACATTTGCAAACGAGCTCGGCCGATTTCAATCGCCGCTTCGCCGCTTATTTGACACACCAGGTGGCGGTCCGGAGTGCCATAGAGCAGATGGCTCGAGATCCTCATGGCCAGTATCCCAACAGCGGAGTCAACATGTTTCCATCACCCATGATTCCTCAACATAATATGGCACAGTCGCTAGGGGGATATCAGCGCCCTGCTCCGTACCCTTCTCCTCATCAAGCCCATTTTTCCCTGAATAGCGGCCGGATGGCAGACTCTTCAGCATCAGCCCCCAAGGACCAAGAGTCAATATCGCCTTCCGCACCTGCGCCTGGAACAGGCGCAATGGATCACAGTAACTTATCGATTCATGGCTCGGCACAGGTGTCAGACCAGTATTCCGGAGAGCATGTCAAGGGTCCGGGCCCAAGAGCAGATTTTGAGTTTTCGCCACAGCGTCAAAACCCCAGTGCCGCTACCTCTCCTCAAGGCCGATCCAATTCATTCGCACCATTGTGGCAGGATATGGGGCCGTTCACCACTTCATTGCCTCCGGAGTCGCAGCAGATGTTCGCGCATGCACCTGGCTTTGACGTCAATGATCCTTTTTATGCCATGCTTATGCGTGGCTCGGACCAGTACGTCAGCAATTCATACTACCCTTGGAAAAATACGCACAGTTCTGTTAAAGATATATCTGCGAACGACTCAGCCTACCAGGGAATGAATGCAACTCTGGCGCCCACGGCACTGGACAGTTTTTCCGAGGGCATACAGAAGCGCACCAATAGCACCATTTCGACGGCCACGACAGTGCTATCACCTGTCTCTGGAGAACTGGCTGAAGCAAAGTCTCTCTCCAACTCAGGCTTGGACTTTGTTAAGCAGGAAGCCAGAGAACCCAGTTTCGTTGCTGGTAACGACGGCCTTGACTCGGGTCATGATACCCCTCCCGGGGATGGATTTTGGGACCACTTTGTCCGAGACGGTAGCTGGGATGGTGGCGACAACGACGTACAAGCCTTTTTTACTGGGCACAACCTGGATAATACCGATGTGGATCTGAAGGTCAAACTTGAGGTACATGATTGACTCGGATTGAGCCACAGGGCAGAGGTCACAGCATCTTCTGGTCACAAAATGAATCGGAGTGTCGTTGTAAGTTCCGCATGGTCTTGCCCAACAGTCCTCTATAATCAGAAAACAAGAAACAAGAACTGGAGGACTTTTCTTACGCCAATCCAAGTTGGATTATGGCTGTGAGAGATTGCTACCGGCTTTTTGTCATGAAGGCGACTGCATTCCAATATATATTGGTTTCAGTCCTCGTATATACGCAAGACATGGCTGCCGGTGATGTATGTGGAAGTCGAAGTACAGCTCGTGATCAAAATACCCAAGGAGCAACGGAGTCATGTATGGAAAAGAGATTCTCCCTCTTTTTGGGTATCTATTATGAACAATCTCCGACAGCCAATACCTACGTCCGTTACTTTACTACTATGTATATATAGATATAATCTCCCAAACACTCGTCTGCTACGACTATTTAGCTGACTCGTCCTCGCCGCGTTGCTCTCGCGCCAACGACTATCTGCTCCCTCGTCTACTACTCTTCCGCTCCCTAGGCACTCCCGCTGTAGAAAAACTTCAGAGGCTTAACTCTTTCGCAACCTCTAGAAATCCATCTCAAACCAACCACCTTCGTCGCGATGGACTTGGATCACTTATCAGCAACAGACCAAGAGATCCTGGACTGGTGCTATACCTACCAACTGAGACCGGCGGCTTACGCTGCGCGTTTGCTGGGCCCACACTCGTCCAACGTCGTTCTTCGACTCAACAACCAAGCGGTACTGGCCAAATTGCCAGAGCTCAGTGCCGACGAGAAATCAAACGTGGAATTGTTGCAAAGGGCATACTTCTGGAAATCCCTCAATGCCCTGTAAGTTGACAGATATATGTCCAAGCTTTCTTTCATTCCAACCTCTTGTTTGGAATACATCTGATTTTTTTTCTCTCTCTTTTCATCCTAGCTCCACGCAATCTCACAAGCTCGAGAACTCCTACATACCCTCCCCGCCTCCTTCTTTGCCTGACGATCCTATTGGGATCACCTCCTGATGCGGGGGGGGGGGGGGGGGGGGGGGTCCTACTGTATCAACCGGGACCTTCACACGCGGATTTTCATGCTACAAACTCCAAAAGTATGAAAAATAACCGATAACTCGCGAACAGACCTGGAAGGCGGATGCGGGTGCCCGTAAGTATTCTTGCCGTAGAGTCACGGCTTCCGAGTGCAACCCGTACAGGACTTTAGTGCCGCAGGATAGCGACAGCTACGTGCAGGGACGGATTCTACCTTACTAAGTGGCGAGGCTTAGTTTTCTCAGTGGGCCACGGTGGTTCGAACCGTGGATGGCGGCGTAATATCGAAGACCTTGATATAATCCGCTTGTATGTCTCGGGACCTACATGAATTGCTAAATGCATACTGGGGACTTCCCAACACGACGTCGCACATTGTCATCGATAGCAAGTGGTATCATTATGTACAGAGTTGTCGCATCGAGGCAAGGCAAGACAAGCCCGGTCCGAACGAGGGTTGGCTGAAAGGTCAAAAGCCACACCTTGGGGGGTCGGGGTGTACTCGGTAGGAACAGCCCCCCAGGAGATATGTAGCGAGCGTTGACAAACCCATCTCGCTCTCGCTCTCGTGTATGGCGCGAATGGCTTTCCCATTCAAGGTAGGTAGGTCACATTCCACCCACTCGATTGTAACATGAAGACGGAACGCCGAAGGAATCGATCCTACTCCGACTATTGGGTCATCTTCCATTTTCCGTTTTCCATCTTTTAAAGTGTGCCGCCCATCATGACACCTGTAGCGTCACATCACATTGTATTAGTAAGTTCGTTAGCAAGTTGGGCAGTTACTGAGTTTAGATGAGGTGAGTAGGGTAGAGTAGGGTCGAATTGGCAATGCGCTTGTGTGCTTGCTAAGTCTTGCTTGATTGGGCCCCCAGACCCCAGTCAGATAAGACTCTCGCAAAGGAGGAAACGCAAAAACCTCTTTGGGGATATATACGTACCGATGGTCGAGAAGATGGTCCATATCGTGGCAATCTGGCTGAGTTTCGGGGGGCAGTAGCTGGATCAAAAGGCGTCAGTTCGGGGATTTGTCCGTATGTATGTACTCGGTTAAAAAAAAAGAAAGATGGATAGGATAGGATGGCTCAACACGAGATCCCTTCCGGACTCTCTTCGCGGGGAGAAACTCACTCGTCTCCAGATGCTCGAACATATCCCACCCACCACACCCACTGGGCGGCCCAGCAGCCAAACATGCCGGCGATGGAGCGCAGGGCAATCTTCTTCAATAGGGCGCCGTTGCCCTTGCGGCGCTCCTCGTCCTCCTTCCTCCGTTTCTTCTCCAGGCCCGCCCAGATCTTTGTGAGCCGCGCGTGCTCTGCTCCCACTTGGGCGCAGAATGTACACAGCTCGTTCCAGGCCTGGAGAATGCGTAGCTCGGACCTCTGCTTGGTTTCCTGGTTGCGGATCGAGGCCTCGAGGCTGGCTACAGAGTCTTGGTCTCCGCCTGTGTGCTGGCCACCACCGATCAGATTCTGCAACTGGGTTCCGAGGCTGACTCCGCGAACCAGCGCAGTATCGATCTGGTGAAGGTGGCTCAGCTCTTGATGCTGTGTGGGCTTCCGGCTATTGGGGTAGTTGTACAGCTGATGCTGCAAATCGCTGATATGCTTTAACACGAGTCCGTTCTCGGATACGGCGTACCTGGGACTCTGCTGACGCTGCTTTCTGTATTCGTCAATCAGCAATTGCAAAGTCCGCACCTTTGCCTGCGTCTTCACGAGTGCTGCTTTTAGAAATGTGATTTCCATGGAGGTCGAGTTGATTTGATCCGTCGAGGCAGCTCTGTTCGCGCGCACTACCGAGTTCAATTGAGCAAAGGCTCCTCTAGAGGCCCCGAGATCGACAAGTTGCTTGCTCGGAAGTTGAATCCAGATGGAATAGGCCCGAAAATATGCCTCTTCGGCATTGCCCGCGGGCCCCCTCTTTCTCTGCTGCCGGAGGGCTTTAGAAGCCGTGACCAACCTCTCCGTGTCACTAGTAACATATGTCTGTAAAGCCTGCCAGGCCCTCCCCAGTGCCTCGAGGGCCCTGATTGTCTCAGTGTAAGCATTCCCCAATGCCTGCTTCTCGCGTTCAAGGTCGGCGCCAGTGGGTGACCAGGCATCGAGGTTCGTTCTTAAAGACCTGACCTTCGTCACCCGAGCTTCCGCGAGGCTCTTGGATCTTGCAGCCTTCCTTTTGAATCCCCTGATGGTAAAAGCCACGGCAGCAACATAGTTGCTCATGCCAAGCATGGACCAGAGGCACGTTGCGACAGCGATGAACATGACACTGAGCCACATGATCGATCCTGCATACATGACTGCTGCGTCTTTGCCCCGCGGAGCCTGCTGAAGTCGTCCGACCTGGTAGAACTTTTGCACACGCGCATAGTTGGTGGCAACGCCCATATAGTATGCCCCTAACCCTTGCAATATGACTTCGGCCAAGAGAGTTGAGCTCGCAACCGAAAAATAGATGGCATCTTCTGCCTGCCAGGGGATGAGGGCGATGATCATCCATGTAATTCTCGGACGGGTACACCACAACAGAACGAGTTGCCCGACTTGAACAGCACTGTATCCTGGTGTAGATTTAATGATATATGCCCCGATAACATTACTTGTAATGTGGAGCATCACGGTAGCCGGTCCGGTCAGAAGCCACATGCGCGAGCCACGGTGGCCACATCGACCCCGGGTCAACTTTTTCATGACATCGCGTCGGCCAAAGACAGGCACCAGCAAGGCCATGGCAGCATTTACGGCTGCAAACGCCACCAGACTGCTCACTGTCGACGGGCATTCTCTAGGCGGGAGGGATTCTGTAGCGTCAAGTGCTTTGGTCGGTGTGATCTGGATGCGCCAGTTCCATGGCAGTAGTTCATCGTCTTGAACACGAAGCAATGTGAGCCAGTTACGGGGCAGTCCATTCCAATCGGCGACTGAGCTGCAGGTCGAATTCATCCACTTGAGGTACCCTTCCCGTTCCCAAGAAAGCTTGCAATTTCCTTTGCAGGTGGTCTCATAACTGACTGTGCCATGTAAGCATCGCAACAGGACCCCGGGCCGAAATCAAATGGTGGCTAGTGCGAGCTTACCTGGGCGGCAGAAACAAGAAGCCTTGAATCCCACCGTCGTGGATGAGCAGTTGCCTCCTCTAGGATCCAAATCACAAAGAAATGTGCTGCAGTCCTGTTCCGTCCTATTCAGCACGTCGAAGCAACCATTTGCCTCGAGACACGAGGGCCAACTAAAGTCGGTTTGGTCCTGATAGCTGGTGTTCATCAACATCAAACCATCTTCCCATCCATTTGGCAGTCCGGGGTACTCAGGGATACCCTGGCAGGTCTTGTTGAGCCAGAGATTTAATTCCGTCCTTTCAATCGCCGTCGCATTGCACTTGTTCTGAAGATCCATTCCTTTGCAAAAGCACCTCTTATCAACAGCACTGCTGATTTCAGTACAGTTGTTTCTCTCAACAATGCACACGTCAGAGGTGCACTGATGTATCGTGTTGTTCACGATGATGGAGCAATGGTTGGGTCCCGGTGCTGTAGGGGGTATAAAGGTGCTGCTTTTGACAATGGTCGTATTGGATACAAGCAGAGTATCTCTCCAATCCTTTGGCCAGCCAAAGTCAGCTGTAGGACTGCATATTGTACTGGCCCAGAGAAGGAGACTGGTCCGTCCCGCGGCAGAACAAATATCATGGCTTAAACTGTATGCATCTTTGCAGAAGCCTTTCCGTTCAATGAACACACTCGAGTCATCATCAGGGTCGTAACCCCCCCACGTGCCATAAACAGGTGAATAGCCTTTACCTGGATCTTCAGGAAAGAACATTGCAGCCTGTGAAGAATTATAGAGGTTAGGCTCCCAAATAGTCTCCTCGAAGTCGGCACACATTGAATTTACTATTTCAGGTCGCGCATATTCGTTCCTGTATACGCACTGCGTAAAACCTAAGCAGGGGCTCGCTCTGTCACCGTAAACGTATGAGGTGTAGCCAGGGTCCCACCAACCGATAAACAAAAATGAGGGTTTTAACAGCCCGTCTGTCCAGTTCTCGGGAAGGCCATGCCAGTCGTCCAGATCGCCGCAGGTGGCATTTAACCAATAGAGGTAACTCGCCTGAGATCTCGACCCGGAGCACTGATGGGGACAAGTGGAAGAGGAAAGATCTGCGCAGATGCAATCCTTGCTGATCAGAGTGTCTGTCTGCATGCAAGCACCAATGAGGGTCACCGTGCACTTTTCTGCCGAACATGAAGTCATGTAGTCTGGATCGAAGGGGCATTGAGGACCGTGGCTTAGGCAGTCAGGCGGAGTTCGCAAGTCGGAAGGGAATACCCATGGTGGAGACTTGGGGATTGTATCCCGCTGGGATAGCTTTGGTGCTGGTTGCATTGCAGAGAGCCTGTTCTCAAATTGCCCAGGACGTTGGGGACCCGACCGAGCTTGAGGAAATGCCAACGAGGCTGAGACCAAAAGGCACAACCCTAGCAGAGTGAAACCTACACCACTGAAAACCCCATGAGAAGCCTGATGAACACCCATGATATGCGAGCCTCAGAGATTCGATGATCAACTCCTCGCGGAGGGAAGCGCTGTTAAAAGCAACAAGGGAGGCAACGTCAAGCGGGGTCTTTGGACGTCGTACTGACTTGGACGAAGGAGGGTGGGAATAGTTCAAAGTCATGGGCAATGTCTGCTTTCTATCTGCATGGCGGGGACACAGGATTGGCAGGAGAATGGTGTTTACCGATAAGTCAGCTCCAGCCACCCCTTTGGGAGCTTCTGGCTCGATTAACAACGCCCGAGGCGCCCAAGGCAGTGTCAAAGGGCGAAATATCAGGTCCCTAGTCGACATCGGGCCATGCTCAAGCAAGTAGATGGTTCATTGGGCGCTGATAGGGTTTGTCGCCCGAGCAAAACTCGTAACCTCAATTGGTTCTCTAGAGAACATGACGGAGCACCTCCGTCCCTTTGATGCAAGACGGATCAGGTGCATGTCCGGCTGAGACAGCCTGCTAAGGCGGTGGCGCTGGTGTAAGCCTCTGGACCCAAAGTGGACTTGGCAACTCAACAAGGCGGACTGGAACTGAAGAGACGAAGGAGAAGGCCATGGCTGGCCAATTGTGTGTTCCTTTTGATCCCCGATTCTTTGAACTGACAGCCTGATTTCAATAAGTCTCCCTGCAGAAGCGAGGGACTCAGAGCTAGTCTCTAATTAGGCTGTAGGCGCAAACCGCAACGGGGAACGCCTCGCAGTCCGGAGGAAGACAATTTGGTTAACGGCACGGAGGGAGAGGCTGCTAGGACTGTGTTATTCTTAGGGAGATGTTTGCGATTTGTTCATCGACTTGATGGCTTATGGATTGTGTTGAGGTTGGCCAGACCGACTGCGATTTGAGGACGTGCAAGGACGTGACAGCCTCGGCATATCAGTCCACGTGACTAGCGGCAAGCTGGATCATCACGTGGTCGAATTTCTGACGTCAAGAATGGTCATGACAGCCTTGGGTCGTCACAGCGCAGCGGTGAGGACGTCTGGCAAGTGGAATGGACAGGACACAGATTTACCTATTTAATTAGCTATGGCATGTATGTGTCCCTCGACTCTATCGGTGGAGGTGTACGAGGGTGACTGCGACAGGCCCAGCGAGAGACAAAACGAGTCCATCTCATCTGCACGAGCTGAGGACAGTTGGGGGCCTGCACAGATGGTGCATAGCTGGATGAAATTGAATCCTCACTTTGTGTGCGAGCCTGGTCGCAGGCCGGTCACCGGGAAGGGGGGGGGGTAAGTAGCCTTGAAGACCAAAGCCTGATTCAGCCCGCTTCGCGGTGGTCTGTCACCATGCTCTCTCCATCCAGAATTCCATCGTCTGTCATTACTCCAAGCAGTCTAGGTCGTCAATATCGTGTAGTCGGTAAGCTCGAGGTTTCTTTCCTGGCTTTCCGGGCTCAATAGGCCCAAATAATGTGCTTTTCTGTGACAATTCAAAATAGTCTTTCCAAACAGCCCTACTCCCCGCCTCGAATCATTTGGCGGAGCAGCCATTCCGTTCTTTGTTCGAAGATTCGATCCTCGAGCTTTAGCCTCGGTGCTTAGTGCTTGTGCTCCCTTCTGATCAACGATTCCCCGTTGTGCTGCTCTTCCGGCTCAACTCTCCGCTGGGTCGGAGCCCGCTACCGCCATTACTGCCGACACTGGGCCGTTGCCCCAGGTCAAAACTTCTCCTGACACTACTTGAGCTGCTTCTTCTCCGTCGCATTCTTATCTCATTTGGATCCGCGACGTCCGCGACGCCACCCGCACGTGCGAACAGGATTAGAATGTCGGTGAGGGAAACCACGCCCACAAGACGACCAGAGATGCGCGCTCCTGGAAGCGAAGACGCCGAGATTGAGGGTCCGGTGGGAGAGATGAATGGCGGTTTGGGAGAACTATCCACGACAGCGCCCACAGATGTCGAAAATGGGTCGGATGAGGGAGTGGGCACCGCAACCGGGGGCGTGATGTGGTGACTTCCTCCGCTGTTTAGTGAGAGGTTGGAGGAGTGACTTGACGTCGGAGCCAGTGTTGCACTATGCATCAGTGGTGTCGGCGGACCAGAGGAGCTGGGAGAGACGGGTTCGGTTATCCACATTCTGTGGGACTTCGTTGCGACCAGCTTTGCAACTGTGTGCGCAAGTGTCGAAAGCGGAGTGACGTGGAAAACGGGGAACGAGTCTTTCCCTTCATACATTCCGCGTGTGGAGAGAATGACAGTGATGAAATGGATACATGTGTTGCGGAGGAGTGGCAAAGAGGTAGACTTTGTGAGGAGTTTGACGTCGACATTGGAGATGTTTCCAATTACGTTGAAGTTGTGGTCGACGACGGCGAGAGAAGAGACGCCCTCGTTGAGCAGAAGCGTCAAGGCCTCGAAAAGAGGGCGGTCACCACTAGATACAGGGTCAGAATTGCTCGACACAAGTGTATACGCTTGGGCTTACTTGATAGCAATCACATCCTTGGATCCTATTCTCAAATCACGGAGATTTTGCAGGTATAATTGATCCAACATAGGAAAACTCCGGCCATTTTCCCACAGGAATCTGACCAGACGACTCTGGCTGAGCACGCCGGTTGCTTCTTTTGTAGTCTCGTCGATCACCACGACTCGATGCACCCCTCTCCCGAATGTCTCAATAGCCTTGAGCAGGTCGGCGTTTTCGTCAAGGAAAGTCAAAGGCTCTTTTTTGCTCAGATCCTGGATCTCGCGCAAGTGTACGCGTTTACCTTCCCTCGCGCGCTGCGCCAGTTCCATGAAGTCTTCTGCATGTTCATTGTCATCGGGGTGCGAAAGCCCTATTACTAGCAACAGGTAGGCATTGAGGTCGCGGTGGTCAAACGTGCCGATGACAGGGGAGCCTGGTTTTTCGCGGATGAGGACCACTGGGGCGCCTGACTGGATGAGTAGCTAGCATGATACCCTCTGTCAGTTCACGGTCGGCTTGAAGGAGGGAATGAGCACACTCACATTTGTGGCCGACTCTATTGGGGTGTCATTGTCCACAAATCTCAGATCGTCCGGGTTGACCAGCTCTTTGACCTTGACCTCAGTCCAATTCCTCCCCGCAAAGCGAGGGTCTGGATTCCGCATAGGTGGGTTGTCAATCAGATCTTGGACGGCGAGATGGGATAGGGAGGGTTGTCTTTGCGATCGAGGAGAAGGAGGATGACCTCGTAATTCGTTGAAACTCTGGCGGTGATGGGCTGCCGCGCTGGGCATAGACGGGATACGTAAGGACGGTGTTCTGGCACCAGTTGAGGGTGATTGGGACTGAGAGTCCATGCTGGATCGAGAAGATATAGTCGTTGAAGGAGGGGAGGTGACCGGCGGGTCCCGGTTAGGCGTCGACATAATCCTATCAGCCAAGGAGCAACTGTTCGTGTTTTGTTGGTCGCTTGGTATGGGAATTGAAGATGGAAATGCGGTGGAGGTGGGGGTAGTTCGCACCTCAATTGGTCGTGAGGGGGGGAAAAGTTTGTTACAGACACGTACTGAGAGTGGTGTGATTGTTCTTGTTATCTCTTTACAGCAGCAAACATAGTTCTAGATGCTTGATGCTGTTGAAGATTGATCGACTTTTTCGTTATCAGATCCGCGCAGGATGAGATCATGTGAGATGTGTAAGTGCATTGGCAAACCGGTTCCCTGCTGATCCGTGTGTTGCGATTATTTCAGTGTGTATGTATGTATTCGTAATGAGGCTCCCTATCTGACTTTCTAGGTATCTAGTAAGGCTGGGGTTAGGCGCTCGATCCCCAAAGGCGTCGTAGTCGTGTCAGTTGGACTAAACTGCCGACAAATCTCTCCTTGGACATTTGCACACTGGTACGCTGTTACCGGTGTGAACTCTATACGGAGCACGAGGCCCAACGTCCTCGTCCAGATCACATCTATGACGTGAACTCATTGAGCATGTCGGTGATATTCTTGCCACCCGACTTTATGATAGGCCTTTCTCGCGACCCTCGCTTTGGAGGAGGCGATGCGGCTCCTGGGGTTCCTTGGTCTTGGTTTCTGACCCTCTTCGTCGGCTCACGGTTGCTACTGATGGAAGAAGATCCTCCCTTGGCTTTCCAACTCTGTGTCTTGATATTCTCCAGGAAAATCGTCCTTGTGGAAGGGAAGTCATCAACAATATGCGACCACTTTCGAGGATTGCCGATCCATACTTCCAGCAATGGAAGCCCGTCAACAAGGCTGGGCCGACGCTTGTGTGCTAACTGGCTGTACAGCTCCAGACTGTCGTAGTAGCAGCCCGACACCGAGCCAAAAGCAAAGTCCTGGCTCCCAATGATTGGTCGCAAGCTTTTGGCACTCTTCTTTGCGTGCCTAGCTTCCCACCCTGCGGTTTGCGCGGTTGGTTCCCACACTGCACGGTTTTTCTGGTGCATTTTCGGGCAGTCCGTGATGATGATCTGGCATAGAGAGGGGAAGAACTCTGTGTATTTGAAGATCCAGTCTGATAGATGTTCCTGCCAGCCAAACAATATCACCCGCAGGTGTTGAAAGGCCTCTCCCGACCGTGCAAGATCTGCCCAAGAACGCAAGACACGTTCATCAAATTTGGAAAGATTGTTGTCGATCGTGACCTGACCATCTGAAAGATCGAGCACGGCGAGATTTAGTATCGTATGTATCGAGACAAGGCTGCTTATTACCATCTGCTTTGGGGAGATTCGCAGGCAAACAAGCCACTGTAATTCTTTAGACGTGATTCCGTTGAAGTACTCCGTAATTGGTACTGACAGCTGCTTAATGTCCAGAAGATACCGGTATTCGCGCCTCCCAAACTCTTCTGAACTGGGATATGCCGCTGCCAGGGTTCTCCAGGCATGAAAACTCTCCGCCCGCCTATCTCTAGATATCAGCAACTGTGCAGATGGGGGTTTTCTGAAAAATACTACATTGAGAGCAGCTGTTCCCAGACCATCTGTGCTATTGCCCACGGTACGGTCGCGAAGTGTTCTGGTGTTAGATTTCTGAACTGACTAGCAACTTTGGTCCTCGCCATAGCCCCTAAGGAACGGGCTCCTATTGAATTCGGGGGTGGCTTCTTGACCAAATTAGGTGTCTTGGGTTCACCTATCCAGTCCACATATTTGCTTCGATTTGGACGTACTTCTATTTCAGAGTACACTTGTCCCGATTCCGCGTCGAACTTTCGTACGGTTGGTGGGTCAGGATGAGGCGCAGAACTGTATGAACCCGACAGTGGAGGCTTCCGATTTGCTGGTCCCACCGTATATTTCATGTTGCGCTTTGAGATCTTTTATATCCTCATTAAGTCATTTGGCGCAGTCACAGCCAGTGACGGTGCCACGAGAGATAGTCGTACGCTTGCCGGGGATCTCAGCTGACCAAAATAGACCTTAGTAGTTTGGTCATTGTAATAAGAGACTCTTTAGCCATTGTGCTATTTCTCAAACTTGGAAATCTGATGTAAAAATGGGTGGTATTCGGTACATGAGACGGCTGACTTGATAGATGGACATTGAGGTTGTCGAAATTTATGTCTCCGACACCACGAGTGGCGCTGCGCACGTGAGTTCGCGTTGAGGCTGTGCCAATGACATCATCGGGACGCGACCTGAGGTGAAGGTCCTTCAGCAAGCATCTACCTACTTTACAAGGACGAAGTGTACCTCGTACGAAGCGAAATATGTCTACAATCATCCTTACTCTTCTCCCTTGCATACCTTACACATGCTGTCGGCTGGAGTGTACCGTGTGTTTCCGTCGTTCCCTACCCGACGGATGAGACCGATAAATGACTCCGCGAGACTTGTTGGCAGCCGCCAGAAGAAAATAAGGGAGCTCAGCGGCATCATACCACCTCGTACGCTAAGATCCTTAGGTAGCGTCTGAGACCTCAAAAAACGCCTCCAACGACGATTCACTCTCGAAGTTCTGCCGCGAGCCAGGCCTAGAAGATGTAATCTGCGAGATACCGAGAGCAAATCCACTAGAGCAATGGGAAACTGCAATCACAACTTGATTTAAGAGGCGGATCTACATCAGCTATTCCAGAAAACGTCTTGCTTTCCGACCGATTCTTGCGGAGGAAGACTCAGCGAAGCCTCGGAACCGCCTTCATCATCTCGTTGGCCAGTCTCGCTTGTCAATGCCTTCTCCGCACTCGAACTTGTTGGTTTTACGGGGGATTTGCGAGCCCTATTCCGTCACAGGTCTAAGATTTTCATGCGAAAACCAATCACAATGCCGGGAGCTTTGAATAAACCGCCCGTTCCTGATTCTGGGCCATTCTGGAGCTGGGGCTGGTTCCGAAACCCCGCAAACGGGCTTCATCGGAGGGGAACCGATGGACAATCTGACAAACCGGCTTTTGCAAATATATTGACGTCTTCCTACTTTGAATGTTGGAGACCTTGAGCCTATTCTTCATTGGCTTCCACCCTGACGGTGGCTTCAACTGAACTGTGTGACCTCTTAAGCGGTGAGCACAACATGTCATATCGTGCGGGGTTAGACAAAATCCCAAAGGTAGGAAGAGCGACGACAAAGCTCAAATATCCGTGATGAGACGCCCAAGTGTCCCGGAAACTCGCCAGCAGTAAGGTTGAATCTTCCAAAATGCTTCTCAAAATCTTCTTCGCTGGCTTGGCTGCCTTCGTACCCTCGATCTCTGCTCAGTCAAATTCCAGTCAGATACTAGTGGTTGACCAGAAGAGTTTCAATGTTTTGAAGCCTGTTCCTCCTCCGTCACAGTCAAACCTTACCACGGTGAGAGACCCAGACGCTATGGACCGCTATGTGCCTGTTTCCATAACCTTGCTGATTCCAAGGGGTAGATTTTTGTCCCTCCTGGTGTTACCCTGGAACAAGCCCTCGCGAAACCCTTCCATGTCTACGACGAGGCCTTCCTAGATATCATCGGGACGAACCCGACCTTGACACTGATTGCCAGTACTAATAGTGATCCACTTTTCCATGAGGCAGTTGTTTGGTACGTTTCGAAAGCTTGATATGCTACCCAGAGATCTACAAACCTGTTGCAGGACTAAGTATGCGCCCTAGGTACCCTCCTACCGATGAGATCTTGTAAGTTTCGCTCATTTCTGTACCGTTATATCGTTCCTATCAGCCACCATACTGGTGGAAAATTAACAAGAATTCATAGCTTCGTCCAGAACGCCGGAGCGACTGCCGCTGGGACTGGTCTCAATAAGTCAAATATCATCCAAAAGGTCGCCTTGAATCAAGCTGCAGCAGTTTCGTCCTTGCGCAATGCGAGTGGCCAAGTGGATGTTGTGACCGTCAATGCTACTCCTCCGGTGGTGAACTCGAACGGTTAAAACCATTGACACTCCCTTTCTTTTCATTCCGGAGACTGATATATATTGGCCAGGTGCAACTCAGTATCGGGGTCAGCTCCTCTTTACTGGTGAAGGACAGGGCAACAATACCGCACCCGCGTTGTACGTTATGAATCCACGCTCTCCATACAACACAACGGGTGGGTTCAGGTTTTTCCCTATTCCACACTTCTGCAAAATTACCCAGCAATATTTGCTAACGTCTGCCATAGTTCTTGTGAACAACTACTTTGGCCGCCAATGGAATTCTCTCAATGATGTAGCGGTCAATCCTATGAACGGTGATGTGTATTTCACGGATACTCTATACGGCTATCTACAAGACTTCCGCCCTTCACCAGAATTGCCGAATCAAGTGTATCGCTTCACACCGTCCACAGGAGCTGTATCAGTGGTAGCCGATGGATTCGATCTGCCAAATGGTACGTTGCTAGTGCCTCAAATCGCTGCTTTGGAAGGCGACACAGGATGAATACTGATCAGCGACAACAAGGCATCACCTTCTCCCCTAATGGGTCATTAGCATATGTGACCGACACAGGTGCCCAGTATTCCTTCTTTGGGTATAATATGACAGCACCAGCCTCGATGTAAGTGGCTCTGCGACATGCGAGATTTGGGAGATGCTGCCGTGGTTCCCACCGTCACTCGTGTTCGTACCGCGTGTCCAATCTGACATTTGTGAACAGCTATCAATTCACTGTCCTCCCCGACGGAACATTTGCGAATCGGAAACTTTTCACCTATTCGAGCGTCGGCATCCCAGACGGGATACACTGTGACACCAACGGCAACGTGTACTCGGGTGTTGGCGACGGTGTGCATGTGTGGGACCCTTCAGGCAAACTACTCGGCAAGATCTTTCTGGGCACGACATCTGCCAACTTCAATTTTGCAGGCAAAGGTCGTATGGTCATTTGCGCCGAGACGGAGCTCTATTATGCGACGCTGGCGGCCGAGGGGGTGGTAGTGTCGAGTCAGCTCCCACCATCTTGAAGTGGGTTGGGAAGAGTTTCAATGCATATCGCAAGAGCCATATGAGTTTGAGATCTCACGATCAACCGGAGACCCCAAGGGACCGGAGTTTCCCTCCCCTGTTACCGTGTTTTTGGGGAATCTTAGACAGAGTTATCGCCCTGACACAACGTATAGGCGCTACAATCCAATGGAAAGAAAGGGTCCCGCACCGCGACGACGACGACAACGTTACTGCCGTGCCAGATCTTGTCAAATTGTTTGTCATATTTTTCAGACCCATGAGATGCGCCTGGTCTGGGAGCCAACCACGGTTTGGGGTTGTAGGAAGAAGTAGCCCGTCATATCGATCGGACGAAAGGCCGGCTCGATCTTGATCTTGATCCTGATCTTTACTAAACCATCCATCCATCCATCTCTCTCTCACTTTCACAAAGCCACTGAAAGAACAGGTAGGTGTCCCATGTCATGTGTTGAGGCTGGTCTCGGGAACCCATGACAAAAAAACAATGTAAGAAAACAGTCTGTCTGCCAGTTGCGGTCTGAAACTTCGCGGATCGTCCCTGATTACACCCGCAGCCTTCATCTGTTGTGTGATGATTGGTTCTAGGTTGTCCCAGCGAGAGCGAGCTGCTGTCAAATAAAATGCCAACGCCGACGCCCGACGCCCGACGGGATAAGCAATAAAAAGAGACTCGAAAGGGAGAGAAAAGGACAAACCCCAAAACGCAAAAGCAACAGGCCCTGAGTCAGAAAGGGAGGCTCGTCGGTGCAGCTGCAATCGTTCTTGCGTGCAATCAATCGATCAATCAATCCCCCCATTTATGGTCCGTCTGTGTCGTGGGCCAGTCGTGCGGATAAGCCTTTTTTACTTCCAGATCTCTGTACTTCCGGTCCATCTCCTCCCTCCGGCCCAGGGAGACGCGGTCGCCGTAGACAATACCGTTCAAGTGGTCGACCTCGTGCTGTAGAACGTGGCTGAACAGGCCCGTGGCGTGGATCCTGACGGCGTCGCCGCGCTGGTCGACTCCGTTGATTGTGATGGCGCCGAGGCGTGATACTGAAGCCGAGATGCCAGGGTAGGAGAGGCAACCCTCGGTCATGGAAAGGGTCCGCGGTGGCGCGTTTGCTTGGTGATATGCATATGTATGGGACGCGGCGGGACCGACTCGGCCTACATCTTGGTTTTGTTCGCTGTCGACTACGCCGTTGTCGTCCCCAGCGGGCTTCTGAGACGAAGGCTCGATGACGGGGTTACACACGGCGCCCCAGCGTCGCGCGCCCCACGCGTCCTCCATATCGTACACAAATACCCTCAAATCCACGCCGATCTGGTTCGCGGCCAACCCCGTTCCACCGGCGGCGTGCATAGTTGCAAACATGTCGGCGACGAGCGTGTCGAGCTCTTTGGTGTTGAAGGCTGTCACGGGCCGCAGTTCGCGGTGTAAGATGGGCGTACCCCAGCGCAGGATGGGCAAGATCCGGCCACCATCACCTCCACTGTCACCATCTCGACGAGGATCGGGCTGAGAAGACATTTGATTTCGTCCACCCACCCGGGGTTTGATTTCCTCCTCGCCACGAAGTTTTTTAGCCTGGGGCACTCTGTGTTGGAGATTGATTGGTCCGTAAGAAAAAGCCACGAGATTCAGCGCATCCCAAAAACCGGCCCTATCTGTCCTTCCTGGTTTTTTTTCCTTGGTCCAGGGATCCCCCTCTCTCCCCCACGAGATAGAAACTTGTGAAAACTACCCTAGCGCGCGGGCGCGGAGATATTTGCCAATAACCGTGGCCCGCTTGTCAGATGCGTGGCGCCGAAACTCACTTTGAGAGACACACGCGAGCGACCTGGACGGAGGAAAGAGGCTGCTTGTTCCTTCCGAAGAGATTGTGGGTTGTTTTTTTTTTGTCGCTCGCGAAGTTGGGTATACGAGGTTCCTCGTTTAATCGACTCCGCACGCCCAAGGGAAGAAAGATACGAGGAGAAGGTCATTTAGCGTTGCATGGCGCGGGTCGACTAAGGTCGAGACGAGTGAAAACCTGCTCGGCGCTCACGTGCCACAGGACCCTGAGATTAGACGGTGCCAAGGCCAACCACGCACTAAGAAACCTTAGACTAGCCACTACCAGCGTAGTCGTGTTATTAACTGCGAGTTCGAGTGAATACTAGATACCTACCTACATAGGTAAGTCTTAGGTCGTACTCAGAATAGACCTACCAAGTAATACGATGGGATACATTCTATTGCTCCAAAAAGAATTGGCCACGGTTCCTTGTAAATAGATGATAATGCATGAGATAACAATCTCACTACCTGGACCAAAGATTTCGAGCTGCCTGTGCTTCTCAATCGGACTGTGGTCAAGAATTGGTGGAGCAGTGACACCCATTGAAGGCAGATTAAAAAAAACATAGTAAGGTGATATCTGCTCAATCTTACAACATACACTTTGGGTATTCTATTTTGGACCCTTGTGATCACTCAGCATGGGCACCAAGACTGGGGAAACCTGGGGGGAGGGAAGGGCCGAGACTTTTCCAGCACAAGGCTGAGAATGCTGGGGCCGGACAAGGCTGAAGCTGTTGGAGCCAATCGAGGCCAAGCGAGTCAGCGCCTGATTCAACACGCAGACTTACAAGAGTCAACTTCCTTCGTCATGCCGGACGACAACGCGGGCATTACACTCGTACTACTTCACACACCTGTCTAGCTTCGGGAACGATGGGCGCTGATTCAGTGTCAAGCACCAAAACAATCCTTCACTCTGGAATGAAATTCCGGGCGCAGAGATCGCAATGCTGCGGTTCCCTTCACAGGCGTCCGCGTTCACATGCCTTATACCGATGACTGAGTTTGTCTCTTCCAGGTATATCAAAGTGCCTGGCCTCCAGGAGTCGCCTCCAATGTACCCTACAGCAGGGTCTGTCACAGGAACCGATCCTAGAGCTGATTTTTGTAATTGAGACCGCGCAGCATGGTGGAACGCAAAAGAGCAATCCGGATCGGAAACAGGTATGTCACATCTCACACTCTCTCAGTATGCCTCGACCGTATTCACATTCTGAGTGCTTCAGTTCCGGCGCAGCTGGCGATGGTCCGGATCAGGTGTACCGTCTGGCCACCGAGGGGCCTATCGACGCCATCTTCTCCGACTATCTGGCCGAGGTCAACATTGCATGGCGAGCTCTGGAGCTGGTGGACAAACCTGAATTGGGCTACGAGACGGCGTTCCTCACCCATCTCAACCACAAAACCGCGGCGGAAGAGGTGTTCAAACGGGGCATCAAGCTTGTTCACGATGGCGGGGCACTGAATCCCCGAGGTCTGTATGAGGCGACCAAGAAGCTTTTTGCGGACAAGGGACTCGGCCAGGTCAAGATTGCGTGGGTCGAGGGCGACAACGTGACGAGCGAGGTACTTGAGCAGAAGCAGAGCTTTGCCCATCTCGACATCCACGGCGTCGAGACGTCGCTCATCAAGAACAAAATCTTGTCTGCAAACGCCTACATAGGCATGCGGGGCATCATTGCCGCCCTGGACGCCGGCGCCCAGATCGTCATCTGTGGGCGCATTTGCGATGCATCGCCCGTCATGGCACTCGCTGCATGGTAAGTTTGCGCCGGCCGTGCCCAGTCTCAGGTCGACTGGACATGACAGAGGCCCCTTTGAGTTGACCGAGTATTATCAGGTGGCACGGCTGGTCAGATACCGACTATGACAAATTGGCAGGGAGCTTGATTGCAGGCCATGTCACCGAGTGCGGGCCCTACACCACAGGGGGCAACTTTTGTGGCTTCAAGGCGATCCCCAAGCTGTACGAGGTCGGATACCCGATTGCAGAGGTCGAGGCCGACGGGTCCGCTGTCATCACCATGCACGAAAACTCCAACGGCGCCGTCACCGTCGACACGGTCACGGCGCAGCTGGTCTACGAGATCCAAGGACCGACTTATCTCAACCCCGACGTGGCTGCTCTGCTCGAGGACGTCCGCATCGAACATGCTGGGAAAAACCGTGTCCGGGTCTCCGGCGTCAAAGGCACTCCGCCCCCGCCGACGACGAAACTCGCCATCTGCACATTTGGGGGCTACCAAGCCGAGGTGTCCACCTACGCCGTGGGCCTGGACGTGAAAGAGAAGGCGGAGCTGCAGAGGATGCAAGTCCTGCGGCGTCTGGACCAGTCGAAGTTCTTGAAGATCGCCATCGACACGTATGGCTCCGTACCCGAGGATCCGCGATCCCAGAAGGACGCGAGTGTTCAGATCAGGCACTTTGTCCAGGCGTCGACCAAAGAAGCCATTGGGGAATTCTCGCAGGCTTTCTTGTTCACGTCCATGCAGGGCTATGGTGGATTTCACCTGTAAGAATTCATCTCACTCCACGTGTTTTTTTCACGAAAAGACTTCCAAAGCAGAGCATTCCTTCTCCGTTTGGACTACCCCCCCCCTTTCTTCACATAGACTGACTTAACTGGCTGCTACAGAAACATGGACATTCGAACCCTCGCCCCGAAGCCCTTTGTGACATACTTTCCCGGAAAATATCCCCAAGAGTCGCTCAAAGTCCGAGCCCACGTCGAATTTTCCGACGACGCCGACCACAAAGCCCTCCCAGTCACCCCGCCGCCCAAGTTCCAAGACTTTGAGGGGCAACGCTCCTACGACTCCACCGACCCGGTGGCCCTGTCGACCTTTGGGCCGACCACCCGCGCCCCGCTGGGGAAAGTGGTTCTCGCACGGTCCGGCGACAAGGGCGGGAACGCCAACGTGGGGTTATGGGTGCGCCACGACGACGAATGGCCCTGGCTGCGGTCGTTGCTCACCATCGCGCGGCTCAAGGACCTCCTCGCCGACGACTACCGGCCCGAGTACCGCGTCGATCGGTTCGAGCTGCCCAACCTCCGCGCCGTGCACTTTGTCGTCTACGGCATCCTGGAGGACGGCGTCAGCTCGTGCAGCCTGATCGACGGGTTCGCAAAGAGCTTCGGCGAGTTCATCAGGGCCCGTCAGGTGGATATCCCGCAGGGGTTTTATGCTCGGCCGCACGTAGGCGAGGAGCTGCTGGATGGTTATCAGAACGGTGTTTGATCTGCTCTGGGGCAGATGACGGACACCCACTCTAACTACCGGATGGGAATTCGCCAGATATAGTATGGCTCTTGTATGTATGGCAGCAGCTCAAGGGAAAGCCCTTGGTGGTGGATCAACCCCCTTACACAGCAAGCTGCCTCAATCAAGAAGAATGGACCCTTGATTTGTCTCCCTGTCTATCAACATTATGGAAAAGCAGGCACCGGCACCGGCCTTTGAGATATAGATATCGCTCACCCGCCTGACCCCGACAACTCTCACTGCCATGAGTTCCTATACATCTACACCAGTCTCACCAGGTAGGACCATCTTGCGCAGTCACAGCCACTGTTAAGATAATGGTATATAAACACACCCTCTCCATCACCGTCTCTTTTAGGCGTTACGTGTATATGTATTAGAAAAAGTCCACCACCATACGCCCAGCTTCCACCTTCCCAGCCTTCATCAGATCGATCATCTCATTCAAGTCCTCCAGCTGGAACCGTCTCTCGTTGACCAGCGGCGTAATGTGCTTTCGCAGCGTGAAGTCGAGGCATTTCCTCGACGAGGCCTGGCCGGGGACGTGGGATCCGATCAAGCTTTTCAGTGGTCAGTTACGGAACGAAAAGTATACACACGCGTACATCCTTGGGCAAAAAAAAAAAGCTTGCTGCGTCTTTCTTTCGTAGGGCTGGGTCGGGCTAGGTAAGTAAGTGCTTTCCTTACCTGAGTGATCGCGCCGTAAGCAGTTGGGCGCTGATGGGTATCTCAGAGTGTGGTAGGCCGACGGCTATCACTCGTCCGTAGGATCGGACAATGGCGAGCGCGGTGTTGTAGGCGGGAACGACGCCTGAAGTGACGATGGCCACGTCCACCAGCTCGCCGTTGTTGGCGTTCAGGACTCGTTGGCTCAGAGCTTCAGGCGCGATCCCGCTCGTGTTGATGACGCTCTGTGCCCCATACTCGCCCTTGACCGACTCGAGCTGTTCGTCTCTGACATCGAGGGCAATGACCCTGGCTCCCAGCGCGGCAGCATACTGCACCGCCAGCTGGCCCAGGCCGCCGGCGCCGACTACAGCGACCGTTTCTCCCATTCGCAGGTGCGCCTGCTCCAGAGCATCCCAGACCGTGATGCCCGCGCAAAATAGAGGTGCAAGCCGTCGCGGAGACAAAGGGAGCTGGCTTGGGCTCGAGCTCGCGCCTCGAGAGATCACCACGGCCGACGCGGCGTCCACGCAGGTATACTCGGAGAAGTATCCCGGACAATTCATCCCCTTGACCTGCATCTTAGGACAGAACTGTGGGCCGGCTTTGCGACAGTCGGTGCATTCCAGACACATGTTGTGCCACAAGGGTGCGCCGACCAGATCGCCCACTTGGAACCCTTCTCCCCATTTCGCGGCGTCCGGTCCAAGTTCTTCCACCACCGCGACGGCTTCATGGCCGATGATCTGCGGGAAGATACCCGGGCCGCCAAAGGCGCCCGAGATAATGCTGATGTCCGAATGGCACAGCGAGGCCGACTTGACGCGGCACAGCATCTCCCGTCCTACGGGCGTCGGGACCGGGATAGTGTCGATGGAGATGGGTTGGTCTGGCTATGTCTCTGTAAGTAATACTCTCAAAGGGTGCGTCGGCTGTGGCGCTGGCACCGGCTAGTGGAGTGGTCACAAACCGAATGGCAGACAGCTGCCTTCATAGTCCTTTGGCCCATGAAGTTTCTAACGTCGAGTGTGTGTCTCACACATACACACACACAATCAGGGAAATGAGCAAAGACCGAATCCCCTTGTGGATAAAGCCAAAAGAGCTTAGATTCACCTTGACGATGGTATCGTTAAGTCCAACGAAGGATATTCTTGTTGAATACCACAACGGTCAGTGCTTATCAAAGACCATACTCAGACCGACTCTGACGCCGAAACTGAGGTCGGTCGATAACTCTGTGATCATATAACCGGCAACCTGCACTTTGCACGACCACATATTGTCGAGACAGGCGCGGTAAATCAACCAAGAGTCACTTACCCTGAGGCCCGCTCAATTCGCCTCAATCATCTAACCGTTCCCCATGTCCCTTTTCGGTGTCATACTCGGCACGTACATCGGGCTCAGTTGGAGGTGGAGCCGCCTGGCACTGAATCGTCCTGAGAGTCAGCGCTTGCTCGCTCGGGTCTCTGTTACTCGTGCTGTATTTCGAGCACAGTACCACCTCTCCCTTATTCAGTTAGCATTGGCATGGTGATAGCGCTGACTTGCTATTCACGTCAGCCAAGGCGTTATGCGGTTCGGAGCAGAGAAGAGCCGCGAAAGCATGACAAACTGTCACCGAAATGCTGTCCTTGGATATGCAGAGGCCACCTGTGAGGAGACATTCAAAGAAGGTCTGCGTCCTCAAATTGAGGTTGATGTCTGGACAATAGCAGAGATTCCCGAAAGTAGAGAATTTCGGCCAGAAGTATCCAGTAGAATGGGCTCAGTTACTCCTCCAGCCGAGGCGGGCGACTTCGAAACTCGACTGTTCATAAACGGAAAAGTTCGTATTCTTCCAATCTCTGATTGTTGGACTGTCTGCCGATTCTCGTTCAACCCTGACACTTTCCATCGCGTACAGTTTGTCGAGGCCAAAAGCACAAATAGACTCAGCATATACAGTGCCAACGACAATTCGCTCATCAGCTCAGACGTCCATGTCGCCGGACAAGCAGATGTGGACGACGCCGTGGCTGCCGCGAGAGCGGCCTTCAGCTCCTGGGCATCAACCCCGCCGATACAAAGATGTAAGCTGCTGCTACGCCTGGCAGATTTGATCGAAGAGAACGCAGAGGAATTGGGCAGACTCGAGGCCCTGTGTTCTGGCAAGCCCCTGTCCCAAACGCGGCAGTTTGAAGTGCCCCTGGCGGCAAATGTCTTCAGATGTAAGAATTTCCATGTTCCCCTCGACACATCCCCCATCGTTGCCCTGATGATGAATGAACGCTGCAGACTACGCGGGTTGGTGTGACAAGCTCGAGGGAGAGTCGTGGCCCGCAGACAATGGTTTCATGAAGGTCGTCCGACGAGAGCCGCTCGGGGTCTGCGCCGCCGTCAACGCTTTCAACGGCCCGCTGGTCATGATTGCCTTCAAGGGCGCGCCGTGCCTCGCGGCGGGAAACACCATGGTCATGAAATCCAGCGAGAAGACGCCCTTGAGTACCATTTTCTTCGGGAAGCTGCTCCAGCAGGCCGAAATTCCGCCTGGCGTGTTCAACCTGCTCTCTGGAGCTGGGGAGACAGGGGCGCTGCTCGCGTCGCACATGGACGTAGACAAGATCTCTTTCACGGGGAGTGTCAACACGGGCAAGAAGATCGCCGTCGCCGCAGCTTCCAGCAACCTCAAGCGAGTCACACTGGAGCTTGGTGGGAAAAGCCCCAGCATTGTGTTTCCTGACGCAAATCTCGACGTTGCAACACAGTGGTGCGTGCAAGGCATCGTTGGCAACTCCGGCCAGGCTTGTATAGCCAGTTCACGCGTCTATGTGCACAAGGACATCAGGGAGGCCTTTGTGCAACGCCTCAAAACCGCTTTCGAACAAAGTCATGCTGCCTTTGGAAAAGATCCACGCTCGGACTCAACACATATCGGGCCGTTGGTCGACAAGTCGCAGTTTGAGAAGGTGACCCAGTATGTAGAAGCTGGCAAGGCAGAAGCCACTCTAATCACCGGAGGTCAAGCCTTGTATGATCAAGTAAGTCCCTCCGGAAAGGGGAGGAAATGGGTTGAGCAAACTTTTGTCCCCGGGATTTTTTCACTGACCAAACAACCCCAAGGGCTGTTGGATGACTCCGACGATTTTTCTGGACCCTGTGCCGGATGCCAAAATCTACAGAGAAGAAATCTTTGGCCCCGTTGTGGTCGTGAGCGACTTCAGCACCGAAGAAGACGTCATCCATCGTGCAAATGCTACAACCTTCGGACTTTCAGGAGCCGTCTTCACGCAGGACGTCAACCGAGCGATGAGGGTGGCGTCTCAGATCACCAGCGGCACAGTGTGCGTGAACTGCTGCACCATGGTTGACTATACAGTGCCATTTGGAGGACTCAAGCAAAGTGGCTGGGGCCGAGAGCTTGGAAAGGTGTGTCGACATATTCCCATGTTTGATCCCCGGAGGAATTGGAGATTCTTCGTCGCAGGATGACAAACTGTTGGGATCCTCTGCTGACACGATCTGTCCATCTCTAGGCTGGGATCCAGGCATACACAGAGCTCAAGACGGTCTTCATCAAGTATGACTTGCTAAATCTGGTACTTGGTGATGCATTGCTAACAACAAAAATTAGCTTGACGTATTAGGTCTCACTATCTACCCATAGCGGAATCATCAGTCTGGAAGGATGGAAAATGTATTCTCTGGAGGGAGAAACTTGCGCTGCGTCGGTAGAAGCTGTGGGTAAGCTCGCCATGTGGTTGCGCCCTAGGGACTCTTAGTTGTCGATATAAGACAGATGCGTTGTGTACATGATAGATCAAACCGTGTACGTGACCGAGTCAACAGAGAGACCGTCCAGAAGATTCGGATACGCGTTAATGAACTCTGGCGTCAGGCCCCAGCCCTCGACGCGGCTGAAGACCTTGTAAAACTCGTCGCGCATCTTCAACCCGTCGTTCTCGCTCGCCTCTAAGATCTCCTGACCCCATGGCCAGCGCACTTTGAGGCAGCAGGACATCATGTCGAAGATGTTGGGGAGTTGGGTGATGTCGGCCATCCTGATGAGATTGAGCCGGAGAGCGGGCCACAGGATCATGTCGAGGTTGACCGGGTGCGCTTGTTGTATTTGTTCCGGAATCGGCCACAAGAAGGGGGGGATTCGCGCGAAGCTCTCCGGGGTTGGGTGCACCCTCCATTTGCTGAAGACGTAGAGCAGCCAGCCGATTGCCAGGCGCTCCGGTTCGGCCACGCGTGATTTCCGCAGCGCCGTATGAATCGAGTTGGCGAGGAAGTTCTGGCACGATCCGAACAGGAGGTCAAGTGGCTCGGGCTCTTCCGGAGAGGCCGCCACCGCGCTGGGAGAGTCGAACCAGGGGCTCGAGGCTTTACTCAGCGGGTCTTCTGATGTGTTGTTCGGGGTCAGCGACCATCTGGGGAGAGATGGTGTTTGAGAATCGGCAAATGACAGACTCGAGTCAGAGTGATTGCACGCCCGACTCCGTGAATGGTTTGGAGGAGGCAGCCTGATACTGCTTCGCGGCATCTGCTGCGACGGCCTTGACTGCGACGGTCGCGATGCCTCCTTGAGGCCTGTTCCTGCTGTAGACTCATCGCAATCCTGTGGAGAATTGTCGAATTCTGTCAGAAACGGGTGGGGAGGATGATCAGATGTAGGAACCCAATATCGACAAGAGTCGAGATTCCCGGTCAAAGTGCACAGAGCATCTGATGAGCTCTGGAGTATTCTTGTTGAATCTGGACTTCCGGGGAAGGGAACTTCTCCCGGTAGAGACTGGCCGTCAGGTCCCTGTTGTGGTTTATCCGCGCTTCTCATGGTCCCTGTGGCTGCCATATCTGATGTGCACAGTATGCCCGCTATCTGCAGACATCCAGGTTCGGTGGACTTGGTTCCGGCATGTAGTGACGGAGCCATCTGATCGTCGTAGCTGAGAGTCGTATCGACCACGCTTGCTGGGGGGGTTTGGTGCATTGAGGTTATCATTTGGTTGGCTGTCCTTTGCAGCGAACCAGCTAAACCCATCATCGTCTCTTGTTGTCTTTGCAGAAAGCGATTCTCCAGCTCGAGGGTATGGATCTTTTCGACCAGGACGCTGACGGCGATTGAGCCATGGTTCTGCTTACAATAGGAGACTTGGTCTTCCAGTAGTTTTATTTGATTGTCTCTTTTCTCGCGGAGTTTCTGCTGTGCGCGGCGATCACGGAGCCTTTTCCTTTCCGCAGAGGTCATGGTGTTGTCGTGCATTGTAGCTGTATGGTATGAATAGCTCATATTCGGTGCTCGAGTTGCATACGACGCCATAAACAGTAGGTTCTTGGGTAAGAAGTGCCCACCCGTCTCTTTGATGTGGGAAATGCACGAGAGCTCTCAAGGCCCCGGTCGGATAAGAACTCGGGCGCCCATATCAAGACGCGTTAGCGGCCCTCTCGGCTACAACTCTGCGGGGTGTTGGTGCTTGACCTTGTACTCGACTTGTGGAGGCGGGGACTGTGGACGGGGACTGTGGAGGCTGTTGTGAAGGGCAAGGTGTCAATCCCTGGCTGGGTGTGTCTTCACCCAGGGATGCATAAAACTGCATAACTCGTGGAGACAGAACCGAAGCGATCGTGGTGGAGGTTGATATGCAATTCCCTGCCACCACTGTTAGCAATGATTCACCCCGTGATAGGCTAGGGGCTAGAGTAAAGACAACAAGCACCGACTCACTGGGAGAAACCAGCAGTGAACAAATAGAAATCCGTGGTAATCCTCTTAGCGACAAGGGCAGCGGGAAGCGAAGTGAAGTGAAGTGGAGCTCGGCAGCCACTGAGAAACTTGGGCCTGATCCAAGAC